CAAATTGATTTTTATGAAGCAATTTAATTATATTTAAAAAAATCTTTTCAAAAATAATTTTTTCAAAAATTTTACTTAATGTTGGTAGTACAGAAATTGATCTTAAATTGACGGGGTCTCTGTACTACCAGATTTAAATAAAGGTATGACTTTAGTATGTTTCATTAGATCAAGAAACACACGCTGGTATTAAAAATTGTAGCTAGATAAGATGCTACATTATCTATTATAGATGCAAAAACTTTAACGGAAATCCCCCATAAGTCTACCGTTTTCTTAACATCAATAATTTTAAAATATTTAACGATATCTTTGGCAATACTCTATGGAATTTAAAAGTATTTGAACATGGGTTTACGTTTTGTTTAAGCAATGATTCGGCGACAGTAGGAGAAGAATTTAATTATTTTGTTGTCAAAAAAGGTACATCAGTAAAATGTTTCTCAAAATCCAAAGCAACTTCTTGATCAGATTGAGTTCAATTATTGTTAATATTTAATTGGAAATCCGAGTTCCGTGGTTCGACCTTGCCCGTTTCACTATTAATTATACTCCATATCATTTTAATTTTATTGGATGCAGTTTTAATTTTGTTGCTTAAATGTTTAGCCTTAGCTGTGGAGCATACTTTTTGAAAAAAAAATTGAATATGTTTTTGCATACGAGTACTCTCTAAATATAATACTATGATTATATGATCTTTCATTGTAAAGCTGGTGTTACTTTCGTTTACTTTTATAAAGTGCTACTGTCGCCCATTCAATAAAGGATTTGCGACTGTTTAAAGAGAAAGATTTAGAAGTAAATATTCTATTAAATTCACAAGTTATAATTTTAAATAATGAACCATACAAATAATCAGCACTGTATTTAAATGAAAGTGATGGAAGTCCTTTTTTTTTATTTATTTATTCATAGAAAGAGTGTTACATAATTTACATTTCAAACTTTGCCAAACTGTATGCCAGTTTGTCGGCAAGTTTTACTATGTTACTTCTAAACCTCTTCAAATGATGTTCATTTATTGGAACAAACACAACTTTCTCATTTTTGTTTTTGTGTATTTAAGACAATGATACCAACTGTCCACAATGATCTGAACTTAAATTTTGAATTATTGATTTATGCAAGGGCTTAACATCTGTAAAAATATTATCTATTCGTTTACTTTAGTAAACTATTTAGTAATCTGTGCTATTAGGTCGCACTAGGCCCAGCAATACATATCGGTTCAAGGAATAAATTGACAAGATTATACGATTTAAATAATGAGCTAAACTTAATACTAATGGAAGAAGTTTCAAGGAGATTGATGTTAAAGTCGCCACATATTATAACATACTTGTTGTGTTTACTAAGTTTGAGCAAAACTTCTTCCAAAATTCTTTCAAAATATTCGTAAGGAGCACATGGGGGTCTGTAAACACAACAATGAGATGCTCGAGCTCGACACAAGCCATTTCTACAGTTCGCTCAACAGAGAGGTTTAAAATATCCTTACGTTCATTACATACTAATGATTTATCAGCTAATATTAAGGAGCCACCACGTAAACCTTTTTCTCTATTGAATGAACTGACCACCTGGTGATTTCTGAAATTAAACATTAAATTATAATCTTTTAGCCAATGTTCAGTAATACAAAGGATATGTATGTTGTTACTATCTAAAAAAAATTCAACTTCCAACTCTTTGCTCAATGCGTTGTAAATTTTGATGCACGAGGTGTAAATAATTCTTATAACTTATTTGTGGGCTGCATTCTAAATTAATCAAATTCTTATTATTGCTAGAGATTATCTCTATTGTCGGATTCACTGATTTAAATGAGTTGGAACTGATTACAAATTAAATGTCAAACGATTACACTGCTCAATAGAAGCATTCTTGGTAGCCAAAAACTTGGCTAATTTAAAATGTTAAAAGAAGATAGCATATTTGCTACCAGCCTTAAATGATATTTATTTATGCTTGAATTATTTTTTATTTTTATCTCCTCTCCTATGGTACTACCGTAGAGTTTTGGTGGTTATATAATAATATTATCTCCGACTCTGTAGAAGCTGGTATTGACCGCTGACACTCACATTGATGTTTTACTAAGGAGTCAAAACGCTCCTCATTATATTTACATCTCTTTACCAGATTATCCATAGCCGGTATGTGTTCTTTTATTTCATTTTGGGCTGATTTATATTTATTGGACACAGTTTGAAGGGAGTTAAAAAATAAGTATAATTTCTGATTTAAGGCACTCTACGTCAGTCTCATAACATTTTTTAATGTTATCCACCTTAATTGAATACAATTCAAGTTCATATAACAATGCTTGCTTTTCTTTACATACATAAACATAATTTTGGGTATCAATCTTATTTTTATTAATTTTTATATTTTCTTCATGTATTTATTACCTATTCATTTTACTATTTATTGTAAATAATAAAAGAAAACAAAGATCGAATCAGAAGAAGCAGAGTAAACTATGTCGAGTTGTAATTTTTTTTTACTTTTCGCTATTTACAGATCTCAAATCAATTTCTCGCAGTAGAACTGATGAAATTCATAAATCGAGGACGCAATGTCGTGTTTGCCGTGAGGGTACTGCGTGATGAGCAAATATGTATTGTAGCTGAACAACGTCCCGATTCTGGAGAGGAGGAGGTTAGTTTCAAGTCATATTAAAAAAGATTTGAAGAGATTGTGAATTTCATACTTATGCTTATGAATAAAAACTACACATTTTAAAATGACTAAATATAAAGAGCTGGCGACGTATTTTTAAAAAGTGTTTTCCTAAACATAATTTTTTTAATATTCTAAATAATACTCCGTTAGATATATTTCAGCATGCAACGTGAAAGTTAAGAAGTTTTGATAGGGGTTCCTAACTTAAAATTAGAATGTAAAAGAAGGCCAGTAAAGCAAAAAATGACATCTAACTATCGCACTAAAATACACGTTTGTGTAAGAGATGTATGTAAATGTATGATTAGAACATAGAAAAAATATTAGTAGCTGTGAATCTTCACCGAGAAAAAGGTAAATATGTATCTAAACTAGATTTTCAACTCGTCACTATGACACTAACCTATTTTCTTTTTCAGATACTAAGGCCGCTGTTAAGAGCACTAATGCTACAAACATTACTAACACAAAAGTTTGTAATAAAGAGGATAAAGACATTAAACTGGGTCCTACAACTGCACGTAACGATGGTTATGAGACCGTCATCACTGAAGCATATGATACCAATACTAACCGTGAAGAGAATATTACACAAAAAGATGAAGCTAACAACATTGTGCAGAACAATACAAATAATATCGCCGGCAATGAAGATTTAAATAATTATGCTGGATGCAGCGCTCAAAATAAAATCCCTGGTACCGACCATATTGATAATAACAATGCAAAATATATTACACAAAATGTTGGTGTCGAAAACGATATCGCTGAAAGCAATAATCAAGATATTGCGGGTGACAATACATTACAAATGGCACAAAATGATGAACCCAATAACGCACGTATCAATGAACAGGATATCGCGTCTAACGAAGCACGCGATGTTGCTCCTAATGACAGAAATGATGTCAATGCAGGCAATCCAGATAATGGCACATCCCGTGAAAGAAATAATCCACCTAATTTTAATTATAATAACAGATTGGTGATCAACGGCAATCGTAATGGCATATCTAATGTTATTCAAAATGTTATCATTCGAGCTGCCAATGAGCATAGAAATTATCAAAATGTAGCACCCCGTGCCCCCGATAATTTACCTAACAATAATATTCGAGATGGAGATAATGAACTACCTGACTATGAGAGTGACGACGAATTGCTCATAGTTAATCCTAGAAACCGTGATAACATTCACCCACGTTATTTATTCCGTAGACCATTTTTGCAAATAAGACTCCAAGACCTCGAAAGTAGCGATGATGACTCTACTGACACTAATTCGCTATAAATATTTTAATGAAATTTGTCAATGTATCGAATACATACGATGTATGTTTCTTTTTCATACGATATGTAAATTAAACCCTGTCCGATCCTCCTATGTTCTGTTTATGTGATTCTTTTCAGTAAAAAAATATATTCTCCAGAATTTTATAAAATAAAATTTTATTAAATGGTGAAACTTATATAGCAATACTTGCAGCGCAGTTATCCGTCAACAATACCGCTACATTTCCAAAAACTGTTGTCAGATTTTCATAATTTGCTAAATGTGCAGCGAATTGTTGTGCAAAAAACATGTATTTTAAATGATAATATCATTTTTATATTTATTAGTATAATTATGTATCATTCTTTTTGTAATTATAAAAATATGTGGCCCTAATGCATTGATCAGAGGTTTGTTTACATATTGTAGATTTAATAACTAATAAATATATTTAATCACTACCTAGTAGGAGTAGCAGTAAGTACGATAACGTATTTCTTAGTCCAGGTTTCTCAAAACAAAGCAAGCTTATTAAATAAAGCACTTCAAAAGCTCGCATGCTTTGAAGCAACAAGTAGAAAGCATGCAAGGTTTTGTTTAAAATATATCGATGGTATATGGTAGCCAAATGTAACCCAATAACCAAATGTAACCCAATAACCAAATGTAATCGTTACTATAATATACTTGTATGTTCTTAATACGTAAGCACACTTTAATCTCGCATATAAATGAAAGATTTAATGTTTGATTAAAGCTATTTGGTGTATTATGTATTCGATTTAATGTTTTCAAATATAACTCTCTAATACACTAATATTTCTTTTCTTTATTTTAATATACAATGTAAAATGTTTTATAACATCGAACACTTCCTAACTCTTAATATGTATCAAATAAATAATTAAAATACCTAGTAAATATATTATTTTCTTGGTATTTTAGCTCAAATGCCCATGACATTATTTTTAAATAAAAAGAGCTGAATACGAAAGCTTAACACGTTCAACGTGCATACGCCATATTTATTGGAGTGAAAATGTGCCTGGGACGTGTTACGCTTTCGTATATTCAGCTTCAACGAGTTAGGGAAAGGTATAGAAGGTAAAAAAGGTTTTTCTTACAGATGTTTCACTGGATGTCTCGAGTACTTCAGACTGTCGATTCCAGTCGGATCTACTGTCTCGCACTGGTACAATCGAACTATCTTCCGAAGACGCCGCCGGTTGGCATTCAACTTAGCGAATGCAAACGTCGTTTCCTGGACGGCACATCACATCCCGCCAATGCATTGATATGTGCGCGCATACTTGTGTTACCAATCTACCTAAACCTAGGGAAATTCATTCAGGTATTAAAGCTTTCCTGTATTTTAAATTAAATTTCTATATTGTACATATGCCTGTAAACATAGAACAACGCGGGCCACCGGCAGACCATAAGGGAGTAGCCATACGCAAGCGTTTCCCTCTTTCAAAGTATAAGTCCATGCGGTCCTATACGTACAATAAAACTAGTTTCAGTTGCACTGTTCTCTAGACTAAATTAAGTTGCGCGGCTGAATTGATGTCTTAAAATATACAGATCGGTCGAGCGACTGATCCGAGTATGTATCCGAGTTGTCGCTGTCACCGAGCGACACTGTTATAATCTATGTCTGTGCGAAATTGTTAGTTTATTGTTTTAATTTATATGTGTGTGTTTCATAGTGACAGAGTATAGTATTTGCATTCGGAGATTTCCTCCCGTAAAAAAAGGCAGACATTTCTGTATCGGAAAAAAAAGCTATGGCTACTCCCGTCCGGTCCGCCGCGTAAGTGCAATAGCTCGTGTTGCTCTAGTTTAGTTAGTTTAATTAGTTTTATTTAAAAAAAAACGTTAGCTCCACACTAGGGTTTTCTCGTGTATCTTGGGGGCAGTTTACATACATCAATTTCACAAGGACTTTCACAAACATTCAGACCGGGAACAATTATTTGTAGGCCGTACAAATACTTGTTCAGTGTGAGATTCGAACACGCGGCCCTTAGCGCTGCAACTCGTTGCTAAGCCACTGCGCCACGGAGCCGTCAAATGTATTTAAATCACGAACAAACAGCATAAATATTTTTGTAGCCTCATAATACAATGGGCCTACCATTTTGTTCTGCCAGAACGCAGGGTCTCCCTTAACATATTCTATTTTCATCGAATGCTCCTCTTCAGTCCATATGGCTAATAAGCACATATCCATCTCCGTAATGTTTAAATAATAATCGTGGTTTTTGTTAACCGAAAAAGTGTTCTTTTTTGCATTTTACTTCCATAATTTTATTTTCTTCGCTTGAACAGCTTCTTCAGATTGCATATTTTTTGGCGGAAAATGGACATTTTATTTCTATTAGTCCCGTTTTTCCCTCTTTATTTTTATAAATACCATCGGCACTTGCTCTTAAAAATGTAGTGTTTTATGTATATATAGACTGCAGCGAGTAATTGTACTCGTAATATTTACCTGCCGAGATAACTGAGGCAATGTTGTTTGTTCATCAGCTTTGCCATATTTTATCGATGGAATATTAGATATGATTTACGGTTTCACATTATGGAATGAGTTGTGATGAGTCGCTCCTGTCAAGAGATAGTGATACAGCATCGGTAATGGACAGTGATGGCATGGCATCAGATATACATGACACGCATGACTCCACTAAATGGACGTCCGACGATCTGTCTTAAGCCCGTGCTTTCTATATTACTTGGCTTACGAGTATATATTATGTTGAACAGTAGATTTGTGATGGACTTTAATGGTGATGATTGACGATTTAGACAAGGCCCAAAGAAGAAAGAATTCTCACAGAAATCATCTTTATATATTTCAGCATTTAGTATTACTTTACTTTATATAAAGTCTGTGTAAAGCTTGTCACACTTGTAAATATAACTTTTTGTACTGCTGCCCAGATATATGATAATGTTTTTCGGGTATATGTTTGTATGCTCATTTGAGTCATATTGTGACCTAAATGGCTTGGAAATATTATCTCTATGCGGAAATCAATGGGGGGGGGGGAGCTATATTAAGCAGTGAAATTTTATAGGCAAATTATATATTTAAATATTATATAACATATTGCTTTTAAAATAATTTGTTTGTTTCATTTTTGATTTCTCAGTGCTGTTTTCACCTGGACAAACTTGCTAGTCGTGGTCGTGGAACTGGACGGCAACGATAGCGAAGCCTTGAATCTAGTCCCACTTGTTACTAATACCGTTTTGGAGGAGCACCACTTGATCGTCGGAGTTGTCGTCGTGGTTGATCCCGGAGTCGTACCCATTAATTCGCGCGGTGAAAAACAACGCATGCATTTGCGTGATGGTTTCCTATCCGATCAGATCGACGCCATATACATCGCGTATAATATGTGAACGCGTAAAAAGGAACCTTATCACTATATTTACAAGATTGGATTTCGGCCATGCACTGGTGAGAAGCATGAGAACAACGCACCGTCTTCTGGTCATAGTATCGTCAAAATAGACCGCATATATTACTTGATCCTATAAGATTCTTAATGATATTAGTTGATCCTAAAACCAAAATGCCATAGATAAAAATTATGAAATGTAATTTAAAATTTGCAAAATTCTTCCCATAGACAAGAAAGTAAAATCCATCATCATATTAGAACAGCATGGTATGGTAACATTTAAGAAACCTTATCTTATCTTCACGCACAATCCCTGACGGGGTAGCCAGAGAGAACAGATCGCCAAGTGTCACGATCCTTACATATCTCTTTCGCTTCTTTCAGATTCATTATCTTCTTCATACATGCACGTCTTGGTATCCGAGTACTCTTGACCCTACCCTCTTCGAGCAAGTTGCTCACATGGTCTTCGAAAGTTAGTCTCGGTCTACCTCGACACCTTTTAATATTAACTTTCGCGCTATATATTTTCTTCACCATTCGGTCTTCACTCATTCGCTCAACGTGCCCAAACCACCGAAGCACGCCCTTATCAATTTTTGTGATAAGGTCATCTTTCAAACCTGCCATATTGCGAATCTCTTCGTTTCGCTTTCGGTCGGCCATAGTAACGCCGCACATTTTACGAAGAGATCGCATCTCCACTGCATTCAACTTACTTTTATGCTTCTTCTGGCATACCCAGGTTTCGCTGCCATATAACAAAGTCGGTACCAACACTGCGTTATGTATTGCAAGGCGTGCACTCTTCGCTACGCCTTGCCTTTTGACTAACGCAGTCAGGGCACCATTGACTTTGTTCCCGGCAGCGACACGCCTGTCCACATCTAAATCACATCTTCCATCCCGGCTAAAAGCACTCCCCAAGTATACAATTTCATTTACCTGTTCTAGACATTCCTGATTTACCCATATTTCACACTTAGTTCTCTCTTCGTCCCTTTCAAATACCAGAACCTTAGTTTTATTAGCATTCAAACGGAGACCTTTAATTTCACATTCCTCTTTCATACACGTGACTAATGCCTGCAGTTCTGCCTCTGATGGTGCAATAAGCACTGCATCATCAGCATACAGCAGACAATTTACTTTTATGTCACCCAATTTCACACCCAAACAGCTATCTTTCAGCTTTTGTAAACAGCTGTCGAGATACAGTATGAACAGCCAGGAAGACATGACACAACCCTGTTTTACGCCCGTTTGGACGCTAAACATGGGTGACAGGTCATGCCCTACCCGCACACAGGCTTTACAGTCACAGTAAAGAGACTGCACAGCCCTTAGCAATCGGCCATCCACACCATACCCCGGCAACAGTTCCCACATTTTCTTCCTTACAACCTTATCAAATGCTTTCTCAAGATCCACAAAAGCACAGAAAATCTTCTGGTTAACAGCCAGAAGCTTTTCCGTGATCATACGGAGAGAAAACATTTGATCCGTGCATCCTCTTCCAGGTCTAAATCCGCATTGTGCCTCCCATAGAAATCTTTCCGATTTCTCTTGCATCCTACGTGTCAAAACCTTCGAGTAAACTTTACTTGCTAAACTGGTCAAGCTGATCGCCCGATAGCACCCGCAGTCAAAATGTGAACCTTTACCTTTATATAAAGGCACAATGACTGCGGATCGCCAATCATCCGGGACATCCCCCGTCCGCCAGCACAAATTGCACAGCAGATGAAAGCTGTCCCAGACGCGAGGCCCACCATACTTGACCATTTCAGCAGTAACTCTGTCTAGTCCCGCAGCCTTACCACATTTCAAACTTCGAATCGCACGTTCAATCTCTTTCATACTGATGACCTCAGTGTCATCGAGGTCCGGGTCTGGCGTACCAGTCACGGCGTCATCCCCGGATCCCTCACTAAGATCATCACACGCATACATTTCTCTATAAAATTCGCTCCATCGCTGCATGACGTCCGATTTTTCTGATAGGACGTCATTAGTTCTCGAAAGCACTTTGTTCATTCTTAAGGCCGTCGCACCACTTCGGGCCCTTCCAACCTCTTTCCAGAAGAGTTTGGAGTTCTCCTTAAAGTTGTGCGACAACCTTTCATCCGCTTCCATTCTACACCTTTCACGCACTTCCTCAATCAATGCTTTCGTGTGAACTTTCTGCAGCTTATATCTTTCTTTCATCTTCTCTCTCATATCCTTATCATTACTAGAGGCCAAGTAGTCTAACCATGCTTTCTTCTTCTTCTTTACAGCTTCTTTCACTTCATCATTCCACCATGCATCTCTTCTTTTACTACTGCCTCTTTTTATTGTTCCACACACTTCTTCCGCTGCACTTACCATTCCATCCCTAAGGTTCTGCCATGTTCTTTCTACACATTCGTTTCTGCCATCGATGGTGTCAAGCTTTTCGGCTACCCTCGCATGATATTTGTCCCTAGTATCCGCTTCCTGAAGCTTCCAGCTTCGGATGCGACAGACCGACTGTGGTTCTGTCACTGTCGTCCGGTAGCGCCAACCCGCGAACAGACCCCTAAATCTAGTAATCACTAGATAGTGATCCGTTCCCAGGTCAGCACCCCTGAACACTCGCGTATCCATAACCTGTTTTCGCAGTCGGTCATCCACCAGGAACAAATCGATCATACTTCTCTCATTCTTTCTTTCTCTAGTATACATATGGATTTTCTTGTGATTAAACATAGTGTTTGTCACAAGAAGACCCTTTTCCTTGCATACCGCCAGTATAAGCTTGCCAGCATCATTAACCCTTTTATCGCCAAACTTTCCAAGTACCGACTCGTACCCTGGTCGAGCGGTACCAACCCATCCATTCAAATCACCACATACAACAATCCTTTCGTTTCCCCTAGCCAAATCTAGAACTTCTCTTACATTCTCCCAAAACTCCTCCAGCTCAGCCCTGGACGACGAAGCCACCGGCGCATAAACAGCCAAAAGGAATAACTTCGTCAGTCCCAATTTAAAGCGAACCCAGAGAAGTCTTGAGTTCACAAACTTATATTCAGTCATAACATCGACCAACCGAGAAGACAGCAGCACCCCCACTCCCTGGCAGGCGTTCTCGCTCTCCGGGACTCCGGACCATAGAGCTAACGCCCCGCCAGGGAGCTCTTCAGTACCACTGCCCTTCCGTTTGGTCTCCGACATACACACGACATCTAATTCTCTTTCTTTCATTATTTCGATCAACTCATTCGTCTTATCTCTCATGCCTCCTCTAACATTCCACGTGCCAACTCTGCACTCCGTCCTCCACCTTCCGCCGTGTCGGGCTGTGCGTGACGGGTGGCGGTCCCCATCGCCGCTTTGCGCGCTGCATTCCACACCAACGGGGACGAGCTGGTGTGCGTCGCCTTGGGGGGACGCCCTAACCCTCGTTGACATGGGTGCGCAGCTGAGTAGAATTGCAGCCCTGAAAAGGGCTGGCAGGGGTCGCGACGAGCACGCTTCTACAATGACCTAAGACATATATAATGCCGAAGCGCCAAGTTACACATAGGAGGAAATATCTCATACCTAGGATTGAAAATTACATTGGACGACGTACAAGGCAATGGATAACTCCGACCTTGTGTAATGAGGTGGCGGGTACTTATGACGAAAACGTAACTAAGTCGCAGCTCAAAACAATCTTGAGGAAACATTACCTGTCGTTGTGTCCTTAGTAGTGAATGTTTCTTTAGTTATGTGTGTGTTAATTTAAGTATTTATAAGTAACTTATATTGTTACTAGCTGTGCCCTGCGGTTTCACCCGCGTATATCACGCATATGCGCCTTGCGACATACGAACTTCGAGAGAGACATCACGACGGACGGTTGCTGTATTAACAAAGATTTAAAAAGTGAAATATGTTACTAAAATTACATGGTTAAAGTAATTGGTGGTTATGCATGATACAGGTACTGATACGAATGATGTCTAGGCCACATTATTCGTATCAGTACGTATTAGTAGTATTTGTACCGGCGTTACTATTTCACATTTTAACATAAAAAAGTAGTTATTGTGACATAACTGTAATAGTTAAACATATGGTATCGCAGACTTTTTTGTAGATATTAATATATTAATATCCTCTATAAAAGTGAAGTACATTACTTTGCTCTATTATCAATAGTTTCCGAAGCGTACGCGATATAAGGATTCTTTTTGGTATTTTTTTCACACCTTGGGTTACATTAACGAAGTTTTCATACGGATCCCTAACTTTTTTGAAAATATTACATAGCCTATGTTCATCAGGGATAATGTAGGATTCTAATGGTGAAAGAATTTTTCAAATCGGTCCAGTAGTTTCGGAGCCTATTCAATTCAAACAAACAAATAAACAAACAAATCTTTCCTCTTTATAACAGTATGTAGATGTAGATGTAGATGTAGATGTAGATGTAGATTAAGGAGTGTGAAACTATAAACTGTTGCGTTGCCGACAAAGTGGCTTACAGTTTGGCAAAGTTTGAAATGTAAATAATGTAACACTCTTTCTAAGAATAAATAAAAAATATAACTATATCAAATAATTTTCAAAATGTAAACATTCAAACCTGAATACTGTTTAAAAACTATTTCATGAATACATGACAGGAAGAATCACTGTATGTCTGATTGGATATAAATAAATGAATAAATTTTTAAACTGGATATGAATATAGCAAACTGAAGCATTTGTCTTGACTTACATACTGTTAGCGACTTTCCAATATAATTAAACTACGAGCAATTAAATGTCTTTCTTATGGTGACACGTTGCCAGACTTGGCCCAAATCGATAGTTATGCAATCAAAAACAGTTTTGGAGCACCTTTTACCTTCGTAGGTTAATCTAACAAACCTACTCTCGATCTGACTTTAGATCAATTTATAGCTTAACCGAAATTTTGATGCTCATTTTTTGCGTTAGATTATTTTGAAGAAAATGACAAGTTGCGCGATCAAAATCTCCAGA